TGAAGCAACATGCCTATTCATTTTCAGATTCATCGTTGCCATTATCACATACTCCAGCCCAGTGATATTCTCAAGCTTAATGATGAAGGACATCAGGTTATTCCGTCGATTCGTAATGTTAATAGCTAGAATTAGTAGCAGAAGGGATGTGGTAAAACTTATGACACAAAGTGCGGAAAAAAGCCACCAATAACCGCATCGCACGGTGTATGCGGGATGATCTCCTTGACTTCTGTTCGTCGGAAACGTCGACGCTTCTTTCTGTGCCTCATAAACAAGTTCATCACCACAAGGAGAGATTGCTTGGAAAAGATCTCGACAAAAATTCACTCGATAAAACGTGTACTCATTGAACTCAAATATTACCAATGTACATAGCAAACATATTTAATAGAAACTAACAGCAACAAGTACGGTGGAACCAACAGACGCTTAACTTTTACTTTTAGCAAAGCCGATCTCGTCGTCAACATTAGCTTTAGCCCAACAATGTGGGCTAATCCTTACCTTTTTCAGCTGATATCTTCACTTCCATAGTTTTGGCGAGAATTTTGAAGCAAAGATTCATTGCCGATTTTAATGTCATTTCGCCCATCTTATACTCCTGTTGCAGCATCGCTATAGCAGCCTAAACGATTATGTGTATTGGCACACGATCAATTACTTATACTCACCAATATTTGGAGTTCTATAGAACAGACCATATATCACGTCAATAAATTGTTAATGGACTTTTTAAACAGAAATAATCAAAGATTATTTTTGGTTTCAAACTAACTAGAATTAGCTTACCCTCGTACTGCCGAAATGAATGACACATGCAAGCGATTACGACAGATTACACAATAAAGTCGCACCACCCCTTAATTTTGCAAACCTAGTCGGCTACTAAAGAATACCAGGATTAAATGATATTTGCACAGTTGCAGTGTGTAGATGCACAACATCATTACAGTGTCGGCTCCAATAACATACATGCTCATCGCATTAATGGGAGTGCCTTTTAATCAGTAAGAATTACAACAATAAAAAACGGGCTTTAAAAATCGAATCAATATTATGGTTCTTGAATGAGTTAAATCCCAGAAATCGTGAACATAAGCCTCACGATTAGCTGGCGTGAATCACATCAAACATCACGTCTGTCATCAACGTGAATGGAACTTTCCTGCAAGTTTACACCATTGGCACATGTTTTCGACGTCTAGACTCTACGTAGCGGAATCACGCTACATGGTTTATCCAAATGGAGTAGCTCACATTTAAGTATCGTCTTACCTAGTTCTCAGGCCCTGTCACAATTTATTCATGTTTCTGCAAACCTTTCTTATATATTTAATTCTACATCGCTGAATGACTGCATTACCTTTACTTTAATTATTCGCAAGACGGCTGTAAAACACAATTTCCACAGTTTTATTTAAACCACAAAGTTACAAATTAACCTTTATGTTTTACAGTTTGCGCTTATTTAAGCAACTACTAGACAGGTCAAGATAAACTGCAACCGCAGAACACACGCATCAAATAGCACGGCCACAAGTCTAGCATGGGGTCTCGGATGACCACACCAGAAGACTAAACTACCTCCCACTGCTCTAAAGTCAACGAATTGTTATCTATTTCACGGTTAGCTATGCCGAAGCAGCTAGGTAACTTCCTCGTTCAGAAGAATTGGCCGCTAACAGAAAAATTTTCGCGTAGCACCAGGTCAAAGTGCAAAGCGAAATGACTATCCCAACATAGATATGCACTGCTGATCGTTATGGATCAAGGGTGATCTTTAACACTAATCAACAACGTTCGCTTAAAGCATGATTAAGGGGAAAGGGGTGGTAGGGCTAAGTACGAAATCACAGATCTACTGCTGAAACTTAAACTACACAAGGTTAAATCAGAGAAGTCATATCTGGCACAAACAAAGACTGTGAGAGAAAATGTCTTCTTCGTACGCCAAGCCTGTCAGTAAGCACATAACTCCTCCAAATCGAGCTTAGCGACGCATGCCTTTGCCACTTGCTTAGGGATGTCTAAGGGGCTATTTACGTAAGTCAAGGCTCCATGGTGTTCACTGTGCACCTAATAAGATATCACAGTATATGAATCGATTGCGCTTTGTTTGGCGAAAGCGTATAAAAAGTTTACAAATATAAATACTCAATAAAATTAAAACAACATAAATGACGAAAAGTGTACTGTCCTAGCCAACAGAATGTTGCAAGATACGTCTAGAACTGTAGGTGCTTAAATACCACGAAACCACGGCATGCTTAAATGGCCCTGTAGACCATATTGGACCAGAGTGGATACCATACGCCTATGAATGCACTTTTGTAAAGTTATGTGCTTATTACGGTAAACGAAATTATGCTGTCTGCTAAATTTTTGAGTTCAAACAGCTTTTCCTTGTACTTCAGCCACTTACATAAAGAAAGAAGCATGCTATGATTGAGTCAAGATCACAGTGTAATAAAGGAAGGCAAGATCGAGGCAGAGCTGAGGGAATCATTCCTTCAGCCCTTCGACGACGGCACAATAATGATGAAAAACTGCTATCGATGGAATGTCAGTATCGCTCGTACTTTTATGATGGGCGCATTTTTTGCGGCTCATCTCTTCGATTAAATTTGACGTCCGGCTGATCAGATCTGTCAACCAGCAATGTCTTGATCTTTACTGCAGGTTATATCTACATATTTTGATAAAACACTGGCAACCACAATGTGCAGTCTCAGTTTCTTCCCACGAAATGGCTGTTACTTAACAAATCTCGGGGTAATTTTTCCTACGCTACATGTAGATTCCACTAAACAATGGTTAGGGTCTGAACAAATATCCATTAAATATGGGTTCTGACTAAATGCGGAAACGCTTAATCGAGATTTCGCTGCATCTATCCCCAGCGATAAAAGGCGACTGGTGAGAGCTTTCGAAGAGTAGTTCAGTGCTTTGCCGAATGAGCTATTCTCACAGCCAGTAGCAAACATTTACCCTAAAAAATGCCGAAAGGAAAAAAGTCAATCTTGAAAAGGAGGGGCAGTGGCAAAATGGATTATTAATTTGCTTTTCACTTAAAGGTGTCGGGTGCAAACTCCACGTGCGGGGCAAATTTCTCTTATTCACTGCTATTCCCTTCTTCATCCCACTGGGCTTTGGTGCAACCAAGCGAAAAACGGGTAGCAGATCATGGACATGCGGATAATAAATAAGGAAGCATAGTTCTTTGGTGTCTTCATGCCAAAACGTGCGATGCATACGACCACGATGTCTGATGCATGCGCCTTCTGGCTGCAATTCGCCTTGATCCACCTGATAGCTGACTAACAGACAGCGCAAGGTAAACGTAAATTTAAATAGCCGAAACAATTCCGGAACAGTGAAAACAACAACAAATATAAAAAACGCCTGAAATTTTGTCACGCACCTGACTATTATTTCCGATACATGTCGCTTTCCAGCCACTGTAATTTCCACTCGGATCAGACTGGTACAACTGATATCCGTACTGCTTATCCCAGCCAATGTACAGTAGGCTGACGCCAAAGGGTCTCTTGCCTGAACAAGCGCAAAACAGTTCAGACAGTGGAAAGGCCTTTGCTCACCTCCGTACTGCGTGTATGCTTGTTTATAATCGCACAAATGTTGAACGAGCTGCTCACACGGAATCATTTCGCCGTATTGCCGATAATACCTAGATACATGGTAAGGACGAGACTGAAACTAGGTAGTTAGCTAGCAGTACTTTTGCGCATGCTGGCGCAGAATTGTTATCAGAACATTCGCGTCTGCAGTGATCCCGGCCACACTACATGCCATGTCTCTAAAACCAAATAAAGAATCTGTTAATCATGAAAATGGCACGTATGAAAGGGTAATATATCGACGCGATTCGTCGCTGTGTCTAACAGCACGGATAATCATTCGTTAAAATTCGGAAATAATCGTCCTGAGTGTACCATTTAAAATTTGACGCTGTATTTGAGTCCGTGTACACACACACTTTGCTAGACTTCGGCACGGCGTGCAATGCACCTCCATTCATTGCCTCGTCTCGGTCTGCTTTCGCTGAGTC